CCCTGTTCTGTCAAAGTTCTATGTATCATATCTACAGTCTTTATAAACTCTAAAATAACACATTGTGATTTTTACTTTTATTTTAAATAAATTAAAAGAAAACTTTCATATTTACCCAGATACTTAGCATTTCCAGTGGTCTTCATTCCTTTCAAAAAATTCAAATTCCTACTTGTTATCATTCCTCTTCAGCTTGAAGAACTTTCTTTAGTATTTCTGATAATATTGCTATGAGTTTTAAATTTTTTTCTTTACCTCAGAAATATCCTTTAACATTTTTTAGGGATATGTTAGATATCAAAGTTTGAATTGAGTGTTTTTTTCCCTCCAATGCATCATATCAAGAATTTTAGCCTACCTTTTTATTTTAAATATTTTAATGTTTTTGAAAATATAAACAGCGGACATAGCCAATTCAACATTTTTTCTATTCACACTTAGGGGGCATTGATTGCATTCTTAAAGTTATGCAGCCGTTGTACCCTTCCTCTTATGAGTTACTCCTTCCCATTCGCATATATCTACCCTTTAGTTCCCTAGCATCTTTGTTTTTTCATACCTGATATTTTTAATAAGAAACCCAAGTATGTCATTTTTTTTAATGCCTAGAATTTTAGTTTTCTTTAGTTTGACTGTGGTTTCCTACATGATTTTCCTCATGTTTTTCTTGAGGCTCATGAGACTTCTAGGATTTATAAATCTATCTTTTGCTAAGTTTGGGATATTTTAGCCACAATTTAATAGCAAAACAAGTTTTTCTGTCTTCTTTCATCCTGTGATTTAATACACCTGTTATACTCTCTATCCTACTTACTGTCTCCGAGTCCATTCTGACTCATGGAGATCCTCCAGGGCTGAGTGGAGCTTCCCCTGTGGGTTTCTGTGACTGTGACTGTGCTGGATTAGAAAGGCGCATCTTGATCATGCAGAGCGGCTGGTGTTTTTGAACTGTCTGCCTTCTGGTAGCAGCCCACTTCTTAGCCCACTCTGCCACTAGGATTCCTGTTAATCTCATTCAGGAAACTTTAAATTTCAGAAATTGCATTTTTGATCTAAATTATATATTTTTTCTGCTATGATATCTTATCTCTATCTTCATTTTAAGCATAGTATAATTATTGTCTTGCTATCTTCCTCTGCTAATTTCAATATCTGGCTCATCTCAGTGTTGGTCACAATTGACCCTTTTCTCTGGAGAATGGATCATATTCTCTCTGTTTCTTTGCATATCTAGTAATTATGCATTTTATCCCGGGCATGGTGAACATTATGTTGTGGATACTCTGAGGAGTGTTGATTTCTTTTTTCTGTTAGCAGGAAATTAACTTTATTTATTTTATTCTTCTTATTATAAATCATTTCATTGGGGGCTCGTACAGCTCTTATAACAATCTATACATCAATTTTATCAAGCACATTTGTACATATGTTGCCACCATCATTTTCAAAACATTTTCTTTCTACTTGGTAGCAGCTCTTCTTTCTTCCTTCCTCCCCCACCCTCCCACCCTTACACACCCTTAATAAATTAGAAGTTATTATTTTCATACTTTACACCGTTCGCTGTCTCCCATCTCTCACATTTCTGAGATACCCCGGGGTGGGGGTATTATACATCGATCATTGCAATCGGTTCCCCCTTTTTCCCTACTCCCCGCCACCTTCCCCTTCCCCTCATGGTATCACTACTCCCATTACTGTTGCTGAGGGTTTCATTCTGGAGTCCCTGTGTTGAGAGATCTTATCTGTACCAGTGTACCTGCCCTCATCTAGCGGGGTTTGTAAGGTAGAACTGGGGTCATGGTAGTGTTGGAGTGGAAGGGTGGGGAAGAAGCAATAAAGAACTCGAGGAATGTAGTATGTTTCATTGGTGCTATGCTGCACCCTGGCTGACTAGTTCTTTTCTTGTGCCCTACTGTGAGGGGATGTTCAGTTGTCTACAGATGGGCTTTGGGTCTCATCTCCCAACCCCCCTCGTTCACATCGATATGATTATTTCATTTGGGTCTTATGATGCCTAATACCTGGTCCCATCAACAACTTGTGATCACACGGACTGATGTGCCTCTTCTATTTGGGCTTTGTTGTTTCCCTGCTAGATGGCCGCTTGTTTAACTTCAAGCCTTTAGGACCCCAGATGCTATATCATCTAATAGCTGGGCACCATCAGCTGTCTTCACCACATATGCTTATGCACCCATTTTTTCTTCAGTGATCTTGTAGAGCAGGTGAGCATCACAGAATGCCAGGTTATTAGAGCAAAGTGTTATTGCGTTGAGGGAGTACTTGAGTTGAGACCCAGTGTCTGCTACCTTGACACTTAACATTTAAATATATGTACATAGACCTATATCCCTATCATGGTATATTAATAGATTTTGACATAGGTGCCTGCCTATATTTATACCTCTGTAAATCTCTTTTGCCTCCTAGTTCTTAACCTCTCTTTCCTTTTACTTTCCTCCCTGTCTCACTATCATGTTCAACTTTCATTTGGCTTTCAGTAATTCCTCTGGGCTACTTTGCACTTGATCAAACCCCATGAGGCTTTCTACGCCCTCTTCACTATTGATTTTAGGTCTGCTGTTGTTCCCTTGTCCCTCAGTTTGTTGGCTCTTCCCTCTCTTTCTCCCATGTTCGCCCTCAGAGCCATCAGGGATTGCAAAAATTCTCTCAATATAGTGGCAGTTGGAATTTCATCAGAATTCTTTTATCAGTAACTGGTTGAATTTCAGGCTCAGCCAGAGATTTGTGTAGAGTTTATGCACAGAATGATCGGGTCCACATCCTGACTCTTGTCCAGGATGCCACTTCCATTTTCCGGTTGTTGTGGTTTCCGTGGGTCAGTGTTCTCTTCTTTTAGGCCAGAAAGCGTACAGGTTTATTTTGTGGATAGTTAGCAGTCATGCACAACCATACCTACATCTGTACTCAGGAGAGAAATTGATAAAATGGGATGCTTTCTCATTATTGTTTTCTTTTGTTCAAATGGAGGAACGTCTACAAAGTTTTCCTGCTCTGGGTGATGACGCCCCAGTGCCTTCAGATGGTGCTTCTTTTTTTTAAATTTTCATTAATAAATCATTTTATTGGGGGCTCTTACATATATTGTAACAGTCCATATGTCAATTATATTAAGCAGATATGTACAAATATTGCCATCAACAATTTCAAAACATTATCTTCATTCTTGAGCCCCTTGATATCAATTTCTCTTTTTTTCCCTCCTTCCCCTGCCCTGCCACCCTCGCGAACTCTTATATGTTATATATTGTTATTTTTATATATCTTAAAACGCCCCTTCTATCCTTTCACCTACAATCCTGGTATTCATCCCCTTCAAGGCGGTTTAATTTTGCCATCATTCCTATCAGTTCCTTCTACCCTTCCCTTCCCCTACCTCCTAAAGTCATACTCCCATGACAGTTTCTGAGGGGTCTCTCCATCCTGAATTTTGTAAATTGAAAGCTCTAGTCTGTATTGATGTAGGCACACCAGACTAGCTGGATCTGCGAGGTAAGGACTGAGATCGTAATAATGGGGAGAGGAAGGATTAAGAGCCTAGAGAAGTGCTATACTACCCCCTGTGTGGCACCATCTGCTTTCTTCACCACATTTGCTTATGCACCTAGTTTGTACATAGACCAGTTTTATGCATACATATACATAATTTTGCTTCCTAGTTCTCTATTTCCTTTTACCTTCCTCCTGCCCCACTTTCACGCTCACCCCTCATTTGCCTCTCTGTAGTTCTGCTTGGCTAGATTACGGTTGATCCAACCCCTCCAGGAATTCTATACCCCCCTCACCCTCCGTTTTAGTTCACTAGTTGTTCCCTTATCCGTGTATTTGCTCACCACTTCCTTTCTCCACCTCCTTCTCCCTCAAATCCCCGCTCCCCATGCTTTCTCCTTTGGTTTGCTTCTCATGCCTATCTTATATAGGTAGACATAACAGAAACAACAAAGACAGGACTAGAAAAACAAAACCAGCTAAAAAGAAAAGCCATCCATAGTTCTGGGTCTACCCATTGACTTTTATGACTATCTCCTATTGCTGATCTGTTATGTTCCCTTCTTGGATCTCACCCCTGGGGTGTGACGGGGAGTGTCAGACCCCAAAGTTGTCCTCTGTATAGTTAAGCTCTCATGAGGGGACGTCGTATCTTGAGCTGTTGTCCATACTACAATCCTCTCTGTGCCTTAGCTGCTCCGAGAAGGGATGTCATCTTCAGGGTTTGGTGTGCCAGAGTGGGGTCTAGTCCCTCGCTCTCTTTTCTTGTTTGCTTCCATATAGGTGGGGTGAGCCGGCCCTTCTCCCCAGGCTGTAGTTTCAGTGTTATCCTCTATAGCACATTCTTCTCGGGAGACAGTCAGCATAGCTCAGGTTAAGGCTGGCCTAGTAGTCCTTTCTGTTAATGGGTTGCTCCATACAGCTATGTTTTTTAAATTGCTGTGTATAGGATCTGGTAGGATTTGTAATCGTGTAGACCAGCAGGACCTGAAACCTTTGCTTTTTAGCACATGGCATCTAGATTGAGCACCGCCTAGTACCATCATTCATTTTATACGAAAGACTACCTGGATTATAGTACAGTGGCTGACTAGTTTTGTTGGAACAACCAGAATATAAGGTTGACTAGCTGTGGAAGCACAGATTACAAGGGTAGGCAAAACTCTATCCTTGGGGGGGTCAGATTAGATATATTTTGGTTTTATCTGAGAAGACTTAAGGAATCCAGACTTCATTTTGAATCTTTCAGATTTTATCTTTTTAACCAAACTTTAATTTCTTGAAAAATTGGCATTATATGTTTTTTTTCCCCCCTCAGAGATAATTTTAACTGGGGGTGCTTATATAAACAATCATTCAGATGCTTTTTTTCACATAGTTTTTATTACTACAATTGTGGAGTCCTTTTCTGTCAGACATTTAAAATATCTTCATTGCAGTACGTACAATATACACTAGATTTGTTTAATAAAATTTGCTTATGATAGGTCCCGGTCAAGACCTCGCCCACGCTCCCACAGTCGAAGCAGTGAAAGGTCCAGTCACAGAAGAACCCGCAGTCGATCTCGCGATAGAGAGCGCCGTAAAGCCAGAGAAAAGGAGAAGAGAGAAAAGGAGAAGGAGAAGGGAAAGGACAAGGAATTGTTTGACATCAAACGTGGGTAAGTTGAAGCCGATTTTAAGCAGTGGTGATTGATTCCATAGCAATAATTACAACTGCATTTTATTCTCTGAATTTTTAAAAATTTCTGTGTAGTTAAATTGATGGAAGAGGGAAAGAAGATGGAAATAAGGAGAGAGTATAGTAAGAAAGGAGAACAACAAAATAGCTACCTCAGATTTTTACAGGGATTCCTTTCCATTTGTATTATAATTTCCTTTTCTATTATAATATGACATATTTTAGACAAGATCAGGCTTGTGCAAGGTAGTAGTATGGCTATAGACCAATATAACCTACTTCAGAAACAGCATAAATAGCAGAATTAAAGCTTGATTAAGGAAAATTTACATAAATCTTTAGTAATGTTCTACATTCAGTTTCGTTTTGCATGAACGTGAATTTAAAATTTGAAGAATACTTAAATGATTAAAGGTTTCTCATTATTTTATTCTCTGCATTGAGGATTGCTATGAGTTGGCATCAACTCAATGACAGTGAGATTGTTTTTTGTTTAATTTATTGTAAAGCTGTTAGGGGCAAAGGAAAAAGGAAACACAAAAGGAACCTTATGTTTTATTGTTGGTTCTGGTGTGTTCTTGACTCTGAGTCTAGTGACCCAGTTGGAAAGAAGAGAAATGCCCTACAGTGTATCAAAGGGTGTAATCTTTGTAGGAACAAATAGCCAGGTTGTTTCTCTGATTGAGCTGTTTAGATTTGAAATGACAACATTTCATTAGCAGCCAATGATTTATCTATTGCACTATTAGGTCTCTTTTTATTTTTGGTTAGACTTCTTTTCATACAGAATGGAAACTTTGTTGTGTGTGTCTATGAGATCCAGAATTTATTTGTAATAGAATTACCTACAGTAGGCACTTCTTTCTGGTAGATTCTGATTCAATGACCCTGACTACGGTTTCAAATTTTGTTCATTTTCATGGGATAGCCTCATCTTTTTCCTGTGGAGCAGCTGGTAGACTTGCACCAGCAGGCTTGTTGTTAGCAGTACAGCACTTACTTATTAGCACCACCACAACTCCTTTAACAGAATTGATAGTACTGACACAGGATTTTTTATTCTATCCAATTCAAGGTTGAAAGTCATTCATAACTCTTCCAAATTGGAAAATGTTAAAAGGAAACAAAATCTGGTTTAGTTGTTTTTATTTCTAGCTTGTTCATTGTTTTACTGGAAATTTGCATTTGTGTCTTTATTCTGTGAAGTAGAAGAGCTTGAAATTTATTCCCTTTTGTTATTCTTTCAACATTCTATGGGAAGATATTTACTCTAGGTGTCATTATAAAAGGGTTTATCTTTTATGTATCAGTTTTCATTGTTACATTGAAAAGCTAATTAGAATTTTGAATATGATTTCTTAAGATCTTGATTCTATGAGCTCTTTTCTCAATCCCCCCATTGTCTGTATGTCTTTTTTTAAACAAACAACTTTATTGGGACATAATCCATATATCATGCAATTCAGTAGTTCAACCATATCAAGAATAGTTGCCTAATCATTACCACAATCAATTTAGAACATTTTCTTCTTCCTTGTACTCCTTGTTATTAGCTTCCCATCTCCCCCAAATCTTCCCTGCCATTCCCCCAAGAAGCCTTTAATCCAATTACAGTCTCCATAGATTCAACCATCCTGGTTTTCATAGACCAGAAAACATACAAAAACAACAAACAAAGAATTAAAAACTTCTAATAATTATAGCAAAATAGAGAAAAATCCCAATAGAAAGAAAGCAGAAAATATTAAAAATGGATCAAAAAGGAGATCAAATGATATTAACCTACCTGGACTGATAGATTTTAAATACGTATTCCTTGAAGTGTTAAGTTTGTGCTGAATTTAGCAAGAAGGTAAAGTTATTTGACTCTCGTTCACCCCACAGTTGTTAAAGTACATCAAACAATTGTGTTCCTGAAAAATTATTGGTTCTTTCCTTTACTTTTTCCAGGATTTTTAAATAAAATGAGAGAGAGGTAGAGGTAGACAAATGACTATCCGACAGGAAGGCTGAACTGGCCAGGGCTGGTGGAGTAGGGCTTGGGAGTGCAGAGAGGAGTTCTTTTGAAAAGAAAGTGTCTCCAGCAGCTGTCTTCAACCTGTAGGTCGTGACCCCTTTGGGGGTTAAACGACCGTTTCACAGGGGTCGCCCAATTCATAATAGTAGCAAATTTACAGTGATGAAGTAGCAACGAAAATAATTTTATGGTTGGGGGGGTCACCACCACATGAGGAACTGTATCAGAGGGTCGCAGCATTAGGAAGGTGGAGAATCACTATGGTAAGCAAAGGTACAAGTAGTGCCTGAGCACAAAGTGTAAAGCAGGAAGGTGTTGGAGCCAATGAGATAAGGCTGCTAACTAGTTACCTCTAAGAGGGACAAGAACATACTAGTATGCCACACCAGCAATATATCTTATTGCCTTCCCTGACACACTCGATGGAGACACTAGTCATATAAAGATGAAGAGCCCATCAAGAATTATTGGGCATTCAAGGAAAACCAACTCATGAAAGAAAGAAAGCCTAAAGAACAATACATACCAATGCAAAATTAAGCAAAGAAATGAAAGTTAATATGGCAAACTATATATATATATATATATATTTAGAGTTACACAGTATAAACAGTACCCTTAAAGTGGGTTGAGAGAATACTTATTACATTGTAGAAATTACATTTTGATCATTAAAACGGAATCCCACATATGAACTGAAGAGTATAATGAACACAGTTGAAGACTGAATTAGCATATTAGAAGATATTACCAAGAAATTTTTGCTGAATGTAGTAGAAAGAATGAAGACATTTATATATAAAAGCTAAGGGATGATATAGGCATTATTAAACTTTACATTTATTGAATATTTAATATGAATCTCTGTGTATGTGTAGCTAGGTATACTTCATTTAATTCTCCAAGTAAGCTTTGTGATATGCTGATTGTTATTATCCTCATCTTGAGATAAGAAAACTCAAAGAAATTTAAAAAATGTTCCAAGGTGACAGAAGAAAGATTCATACATTTCAAGATCTGTGTAAGGAGAGTTCTTGATAAGAAGGATGGAAAAGAAGAAAGACTGTAAGTAGGCGTCCTCGGAACTGAGAAAGATTCTGTTTTTCAGATGAAAGAGCTTTCAATCATCAAGCAAGCAAAATCCAAAGAAGACACACCTCGGTAAATTTTGGTGAAATCAGAAATTAGAAATACCAAGAATAAAGAAGAGCTAAAATACCTCGAAAGAAGAAACTGGTTATCTACAAAGAAAGAAAGAAAATAGATTGGCACCCTTAGCAACATGCTCAAAATTGCTTCCACACTAAAACTAAACCCCCTACACCACAGAGTTGATCTTATAGTGACCAAACTCTAAATAGGGTTTCGGAGGCTATTGATCTTTATGGGAGCAGATAGCATTATATTTTTCCCACACAGGGGTTGGTAGATTTGAACTCCCGACCTTGCAGTGAGCAGCCCAACACTTACCCAAGAGCATACAGCTATCATAAGAGCTAAATTCTCTGCATATACCAAAGTAAAGGCAAAAAGTAACAGAGCAATGGTTCTCAACCTGTGCGTCCGCAACCCATTCGGGGGTTGAGATAGTTTACTGTGCCAGCCTGGCTGATAAACATAAGTGGGATTAATTGAAGGGCGGAGAGATAAATGGCTCAGTGAGCCTCGCCTTTCTTGTCTCTCGCTCTTTGATCATCGGACCAGTGTGCGGCT